CGCGCACCTAAACCCCGCGTACGAGACACCCAAAGAAATTTGTTGGCGGGAAACGATTTTGCGAGCCAGGCAACGTAGAAAGCTGAAACTTTGCAGGAATATTCTCTGTGCACGTGCCCCTCCTCCTAACCACAGCCTCAAGCAGCTCCTCAACTCAAAAATCGTTAGCAACTCGAACCTGAACCGCAAATGTATATGCAGATGAACATGGATTTTTTGAAAAACGACCGTCCGAGCAATACTTTCAATTTTTAATAAACCAGAAATTTGCATTTTTTTCAAAGAAAGTCGTTTGCAGCTCGGACCTTAACCGCAATCGTATATGTAAATGAACGCAGATTTTTTGGAAACGACCGGTCGGGCAATACTTCTACTTTTTAGTGAACTGGAAATTTGCATTTTTTCTAAAAATTTGCATTTGTCATTTTTTCACAAAACGAGCATTTACCGAAAACGACCGGACTTCATGCAAAAAGCCGGTGATCATGCACTGGATGTCCCTGCGGCTGTATAATGCACCACCTTCATCCCAACTGGCGCCCTTCCTCCTGCATACCGGAAGGGGCCAAAGCACGGCCAGTATGAGGCCAAGTGTTAGACTACTGCGTAGGGATCATTCTTGCTAATAACGATCCACGAGTTTAGTGCAAAAACGTATGATCGAACCGGAGAGCCTGGTGCGTCCCAGCATGGGTTTTTATCCTTTTCTGCATATTTATGCAAATGCAGGAATGAATATTGCCAAAAGCTTGTGTATTTGTGTATTTCTTTGTACGTGTGTGTTCACATTTTGTCACCCACTTTCAACTTAGCAACCAAACAAGCCAATGAGCTGAAATTTTCGGAGCATATCCCTCTCGTTTCGAAAATAACGTTCGTGTACGCCAAGGCGTCAAATCCTGGTCAGCAAGTTTGAAGTAAGCTTTAGCTTACGCATGTTTTTGTGTACGGACGCATCAAATGTTCATATTACATTGTTACTGTCTTAATATTCTTCTGGCAATCAAACAAGCAAGAAATCTAAAATTTTTGAGGATTCTGTCTGAATCTGTTGGGTGCGGGAAAAGTAACGGCATCTTTCAGGCTCGCTAACATTTCTTATTCAGATACTATAAATTTCAGGTTGCTAAAACGTATGATCGTACAGTCAGCGCTGGTGCGCAGTTTTGTTGGGTTTACTGCAGACTAGTAGGGACTCTGCCATGCAGCTTTGAGGAATGAAACTGTTTTCCGGCCAGATTTGGAAGTGTTCATTCGCATCTGAGTATTTCCCGGTTTTAGAAGACTTGTTCGATTCCGCTTGTGCGTTCGTCGATTTCAGTCAGCCGCTGATTGATGTACTCAGTGTTCGTGCTGCTCTCAGATTTCAAGCCGACCTCACACTCTGCGGCCTCAGCGATCGTCAGAAGGAGGAAAGAGTGAGTTTGAATCAGACTGTTTCGTCAGTTGTAACTGCATTTCATCCGGCACTATAATCGTGCCATACCGTCAAAGCGCTGTGCTAAAAAAAATCAAGATTGTTCATAGTAAAAAAGTGATGAAGAAAAGTTTCAGGCAGCCTCTTTTGTTCGAGAATTTGATCTTGTGCCTTACAATGACGTACTCATTCGAGAACTGAATGAGGCTGCACGAAGACGTTTGCTTCTGTGCATGCATTTGATTCGTGATCCGGGTAAGTTTTTACTGAAAATAAGTTTAAAAAACTTTTTAAGCACCTATTAAATAAGTAATAACAGAAAGTTTTGTATTAGGTATTCAGTCTGCTGACTTCAGGACAACTGCACCTTGTTGTGGATTTTTTTTTTGTTCACTGGCCACGATAGCCTCGCAAGTTATATATTTCAAAGAATTTGTACTAAGGTATACAAGTTCTGGGCCGGCAAAATTGCCCGTAACAGTAGCCTCAGTTCTGAACTAGATGGATTCTGTTGGTCCTTCTTCAGTTTGTAGGTGAACTCGGTTTGTCAGCTTCTCCGATTCCCTGAGCATGATTCATCGAATCGGATAGTCCAAATATCCTCAAACTCAAACTTGGATAACATAAATTTTATTAACAATTGATAAAAAATAACGAATGTTTGAACGCGAAGCGTTAAATGCGAGTATATGTAACAAATCGGTAAAATACATTACTAATGTGTGGCAGCAATAAATGTAAAAAGTTGGGGTTCTGTGAATCCTCTGCCATCGTTGTTCCTGCTCGCTGTTGCTGATGCAGCCGCCATCGCTGTCAATTCTCGAAAAATGAGATCGACCGAAGGTTTCGTACGACCGCCAGCACGTCGGTACCATCCGAGAGTTCAATCCTCTCCCCTCAGGCACGGGCATCTCGGTAGAAGTCCTATGCTCGCCGAGCACTGTGAGCAGCCACCTCCAATTGACCAATACTCCTAGCGCCTACACTTACAACTACAAGGATGAAAGTGCACTTGCACTGTCTCTGCACACATATACCATGTAAATACAAGTGTATACATGAGCATGTGTGTGCAGATCAAAATATTCTAATTTTGATTTTAACTGGTTTTATCACACTTCTCGAGACGTTGTATCTTCTCGACACATCGTGGCAAACCTAGGCTGGAACGCACCAAGCGGGCCCGTGCGATCATACGTTTTTTCACCGCACTTAAATTACTCAGGTCATTAACTTTTCATGAATGGTTGTTGCTTTACACCTGCCTTTCGCGCTCACTAGCGTAAACCACCATAAATTTTGCATAAAGTAAATGTAGAATTCCCATTTAACGGTCGTTCTTTAAAAGTAACCTGGGTGTTTAATAAGAAATACTTCCGCCAAAACTTTTAAGTGCTCGTACGTAAGAAACACGCATACCTCAAGGCTGAATTTGAAGTTGTTAAGTTATACTTGGACAGGGAACATTCCCTCAAAATTTCAGCTTTCCAGCTTTTCTGGTTACCGAGTTAGCGATTTTCGCGCCAAAACCTTCACTTGCCGGTGCTTGGGTACTCCACGTGCCCGGAAAGCTGAGTTTGAAATTTTTAAATTACATGTGGACAGGGAATATCCCCCTAAAATTTCAGTCTTCCAGCTTTTCTGGCTGCCGAGTTAATTCTCCAGCCAAATCTTTCACGTGCTTCTGCGTAAAAACCATGCATATCTGAGGATTTTAAGTTGTGCTTGGACAGGGGACATTCCCCCAAAATTTCAGCTTTCTAGCTTTTCTGGTTCCCGAGCTAGCAGTTTTCCCACCAAAGTTTTCATACGCCCTTACATGAGTACCACATACGCCTCGGGGCTGAATTTGAATTCTTTAGCTAACACATGCACAAAAAATATCCTTACAAAGTTTCAGCCCCTTGTCTTGTCTGGTTTCCAAGACCGCTTTCCCGCCAAAAAATTTTTATATTTTTTTAAAACGTCCGTACGCGGCACTTAGGCGTCCGCGGAGGATGATATTAAAACGCGAGGGCCACCCATGGTATGGGCACATGCTCCCAAAATTTCAGTCTTCTAGTTTTTCTGGTTCTCGAGTTGAAAGTGGGTGAAAAAAAAAATGCGAATACACATACGCATACACACACACACACACACACACACACAACCTCTTCCCAATATGCGTTTTTGCAATTTGCATATATGCAAAAACGCGGAAAAACCTGTGCGTTTCGGGAGAATTTAAAAGAATGGGATATGTTTGTCAAAATCGGCCAACTCAGCATTTAATAACCATTTGTTTATTACTAAGGCTTTTTTGTGTCAGAGCAACCTTAGAATTCCAAGAGTAACTACCAGAAATTTTTTTTTAAATATTCTTTTTATTAGATATATATTCTTTTTTTTAAATATTCTTTTTTTTAAAATATTCTTTTTTGCCAATAAAAAATGTAGATTTGTAGATAACTTATATGTGATCCGATCCTTAAAATTATTTTATAAACTACTTGAAAAAAGTTTGACTGCTTCAAAAACTACCAGTTTTCGCCAATTATTTGTTATGACAGTGAAAGAAATTTTGTTGTGGCTTCCACTTTTCAAAACCTTTATATTGGTGCAGTTCCTCCCATTAGCGTGAGTTTTTAAAAATGTATGGTTGTAAGAACTTCATTATAGCTATTTAATAATTATTTTTGTAAATTG